AGACGTATAGATAGAGTGGATAGCCAGAGACCTTTTCCCGGGGCAGAAATGGCTATCACGAGGGGGCAGAATTTTAAGGTGATTGGAGGAAGGAATAGAGGATATGTCAGAGGTAGGTTCTTTACACAGTGTGTGGTGGGTGGGTGGAATATTCTGCCGGCAGTGGTAGTCAAGTCAGATACGTTGGAGACTTTCAAGCGACTCTTGGATAGGCACATGGATGATTGTAAAATGTAGGATATGCAGGGTAGTTTGATCTGAAAGTAGGATAATAGGTTGGCACAACATCATGGACTGAAGGGCTTGTACTGTGCTGTACTGTTCTATGTTCTAACTCCTTATTTTTTCATTCAATGTCGGCATTTCAAATTTAGCATTTGCTGTCATCCCGAGTTACGTTTGTATGAACTGTGTAAGTGTGACTTCCGAGTGTGGCTCTATGAATAGAAAAGGTAGTTCAGAGTGAACCACATTGCTGTGGGTCTAGAGTCACATGTAGGCCAGACCAGGTAAGAATGGCAGATTTCCCTCCCTGAAGGACATTTGTGAACTGGATGTACTCTTCCTGACAATCAATGATAGAATCATGGTCACCATTACTGACCGGCTTTCAATTCGTTTATTTTCCCTAACAAAGACAATATGTGTGGGACCGCAGGATATGGGGCAGTTCTAGCAGACTGGAGGGTGGCTAATGTTGTTCCAGCATTTAAGAAAGGTAGCAAAGACAAGCCAGGGAACTACAGGCCAGTGAGCCTGACATCAGTGGTAGGCAAGTTATTGGAGAGGATACTGAGGGACAGGATCAACCAACATTTGGATAATCAAGGTCTGATTAGGGATAGTCTGCATGGATTTGTGTGTGGGAAATCATGTCAAATCTTTAAGAGTTTTTCAAAGAGGTGACCAAAAGGATGGATGAGGGTAGGCAGCGGATATTGTCTGTATGGAATATAGACAAGGTCCTGCATGGCAGGCTAGTCATGAAGGTTAGGCAGCACAGGATCCAAGGAGAGCTAGCTAATTGGATTCAAAATTAGCTCAATGGTAGGAAGCAGAGTTGAAGACTGGAAGCCTGTGACTAGTGGTGTGCCACAGGGGTTGTTGCTGGGACCTTTCTTATTTGTTATTTACATAAATGATCTGGATGTGAATGTACAAGGCATGATTAGTAAGTTTGAGGATGATACAAAATTAGGAGGTATCATTGATAGTGAGGAAGGTTATCAAAAATTAAAAGGGATCTTGTTCAGATGGGGAAGTGGGCTGAGGATTGGCAAGTGTAATTCAATACAGATAAGTGTGAGGTGTTGCACTTTGGAAAGTCAAATCAAGGTAGGACTTACACAGTAAATAGTAAGGTCCTGAGGAGTGTTATGGAACAGAGGGACCGAGGAGTACAAGTACATAGTTGTTACAGGTGGACAGGATGGTGAAGAAGACATTTAGCATGCTGGCATTATTCAGTCGAGGCATTGAGTATAGGAGTTGGGACGTTATGTTACAGTTGTATATGTCGTTGGTGAGGCTGTACTTGGAGTATTGTATACAGTTTTGGTCAGCCTGTTACAGGGAAGACATAGTTAAACCGGAAAGTGTGCAAAGAAGATTTACGAGGATGGTGCCAGGACTAGTAGGCCTGAGTTACAGGGAGAGGTTGGCCAGGATAGGACTTTATTTCTTGGAATGTAGGAGAATGAGGTCTGACCTTACTGAGGTGTATAAGATCATGAGGGGTATACATAGGATGAATGCATATAGTCTTTTTCGCAGGGATGAGGGTGTGAAAACAAGATGGCATAGTTTTAAGGTGAGAGGGGGAAAAAATTTAAGAAGGACCTGAAGGGCAACTTCCTCACGTAGAGTGGTGCGTATGTGGAATGGGGTGCCAGAGAAAGTGGTTGAGGCAGGTACAATAGCAACATTTAAAAAACATGTGGATAGGTCCATGGATGAGAGAAGTTTAGAGGGATATGGACCAAATGCGGACAATTGGAACCAGCTGAGAGGGCACCATGGTCAGCATGGACCAGTTTGGGCCGAAGGACCTGTATCCATGTTGTGTTAGTCTATGACTGACTCGATGACTCTATTAAACGAGTATTTTGAAGAAGATTAATACCTGAAAAATTGACTCAGACGCTGCCTGGCTTGCTGTGTTCTTCTGTGTTTGTCTACCTGGATTCCATCATCTGCAGTTTCTTTGTCTCTATTTTGTATCAGTATTTACTGTGGAAAAGGAGATGGAAGCTGGAGAACTTGGGAAAATAAATAGTGACATCTTGAAACGTATCTGTATTGCAGAGGAAATGGTGCTGGACATTTTAAAATGGACAAAGGTGGATAAATCACTGGGACCTGAACACGTGTATCCTAGAAATCTGTGGGAAGCTAGGGAAGCGATTGATATTTGTATCATCGATAGCAACAGGTGAGGTGCCGGAAGACTGGATGTTGGCTAATATGACAGTATTCTTTCAGAATGGTGGTAAGGAAAAGCCAGGGATCTATGGACTGGTGAGCCTGACATTGTTGATGGGCAATAAAAACCAAAAGAACTGCGGAAGCTGTAAATCAGGAACAAAAACAAAGTTGCTGGAAAAGCTCAGCAGGTCTGGCAGCATCTGTGAAGAAAAAAACAGAGTTAATGTTTCAGGTCCAGTGACCCTTCCTCAGGACGGTTCTTTGTTTTTGTATTGTTGATGGGCAAGTTGTTGGAGGGGAATCCTGAGGGACAGCATATTTGGAAAGGCAAGGACTGATTAGGGATGGTCAATATTGCTTTGTGTGTAGGAAATTGTGCCTCACTAACTTGACTGATTTGTATATCCTTAAGTGTTATGATCTGCCTGTACTGCTCGCAAAACAAAACTTTTCACTGTACTTACATGTGACTACAATAAATCAAATCAAATCAGTCAGGTGTTCAACAAGGTTCTGCAGGGTAGACTGGTTAGCAAGGTTAGATCACATGGAATACAGGGAGAATTAACCATTTAGATACAAAATTGGCTTGAAGGTAGGAGACAGAAGGTGGTGGTGGAAGGTTGCTTTTCAGATTGGAGGTCTGTGACCAACGGTGTGCTGCAGGGATCAATGCTGGATCCATTGTTTTTCATAATTTAAATAAGTGATCTATATGAATATAGGAGGTATGGTCACTAAGTTTGCATATGACTCAAAAATTGGTGTGGTGAGCTGCACAGGCAGTGAGAAGGTTACCTCAGAGTACAACAGGGCCATGATCAGATGGGCCAATGGGTGGAGGAGTGGCAGGTAGAGTTTAATTTACATAAATGTGAGGTGTTGCATTTTGGAAAGGCAAATCAAAGCAGAACACTTAATGGCAAGGTCCTGGGGACTGTTACCGAACAAAGAGATCTTGGATGCAGGTTCATAATTCCTTGAAAGTGGAGTCACAGGTAGACAGGATAGTGAAGAAGACATTTAACATGCTTGCCTGTGTTGATCAGTGCATTGAGTATAGGAATTAGGAGGTCAAGTTGAGGCTGTACAGGACATTGGTTAGGCCTCTTTTGGAATACTGCGTGCAGTTCTGGTCTCACTGCTTTGGGAAAGGGTGTTGTGAAACTTGAAAGGGTTCAGAAAAAATTTACAAGACTGTTGCCAGGGTTGGAGGGTTTGAGCTATAGGGACAGGCTGAATAGGCTGGGGCTATTTTCCTGGGGCATCGGAGACTGAGGGGTGACTGTACAGAGGTTTGGATAGGGTGAATAGTCAAGGTCTTTTCCCCAAGGTAGGAGAGTCCAAAGCTAGACAGCATAGGTTTAAATTGAGAGGGGAAAGATTTAAAAGGGACCTAAGGGCAATATTTTCAAAGAGGGTGGTATATATATGGAGAGTGAGCTGCCAGAGGAAATGATGGAGGCTGGTACAATGACAACATTTAAAATGCACCTGGATGGGTATATGGATATGAATGCTGGCAAGTGGGACTAGATTACTTCAGGATATCCGGTCAGCATAGATGAGCTGGGCTAAATGGTTTGTTGCAATGCTGTACATGTCTATGACTCTAACAGAAATCGCAGAGCTGCTATAGTGGAATTTGAACAACGTCCAAGAGTACAAACCTGTGTGTCTGAATTACTAGTCCACAGACACTATTGTGATGACACCTCCCTCTCATACAACCTCCCATCACACTCACACAGTCACACTCCCCGTCGCACTCACACAAAGTCACACGCCCATTGCACTCTCACACAGTCACACTCACGCAGTCACACTCCCCATCACACACACACAATCGCATCACACAGTCACACTCCCAGTTGCAATCACACAGTCACACGCCCTGTAGCACTCATACACAGTCACACTTCCCATTGCTTTCCCTGGTCACACTCACATGCAGTCACGCTCACACACACACTCCCCGGCACACACACACAGTCACATGCCTCATCACACTCCCTGTCGCACTCACACACAGGCACACTCCCTGTCACACTCACACACAGGCACACTCCCTGTCACACTCACACACAGGCAGTCACATACAGACACACTCCCCGTCATGCTCACATGCAGTCACACTCCCCATCACACTCACACACAGTCACATTCCCTGTCACAGTCATACACAGGCGCACTCACTCATAGTCACACTCCCTGGCACGCTCACACACAGTCACACACTGACACTTTCACATTCTGACAAAGTCACAGAGCACAGGAAAATATCTCTAATAGTGTTGGGGACAAAAACACAGCTAATTACAGCCCAGGTAGTATAATGTTGGAATTTGGAGAAATATTAGATTTTAGACCAGAAGACGATAAGACATAGGAGCAGGAATTAGGCCATTCGGCCCAGCGGGTCTGCTCTGCCATTCAATCATGGTTGATAAGTTTCCCAACCCCATTCTTCTGCTTTCTACCCGTAACCCTTGATTTCCTTGATAATCAAGAACCTATCTATTTCAGTCTTAAACTCAATGTACTCAATGACCTGGGCTCCACAGCCTTCTGTGGCGGTGAATTCCATAAATTCACCACTGTCTGGCTGAAGAAGTTTCCTTATCTTCATTCTAAAAGGTCTTCCCTTTACTCTAAGGCTGTGCCCTAGGGTCCTAGAGTCTCCTAACAATGAAGCATCTTCTCTACATCCACATTGTCCAGGCCATTCAGTATTTTGAAAGTTTGAATTAGATCCCCCCTCATCCTTCTAAACTCCAATGAGTATAGTCCCAGAGACCTCGAACGTTCCTCATACGTTAAGCTTTCAATTCCTGGGACCATTCTCATGAACCTCCTCTGAACCCGCTCCAGGGCCAGTACATCCTTCCTGAGATATGGGGCCCAAAACTGCACACAATACTCCAAATGTGGCCTGACCAGAGCCTTATAAAGCCTCAGGAGTGCATCCCTGCTTTGATATTCAAGTCATCTCAAAATAAATGCCAACATTGCATTTGCCTTCCTGACTACTGACTCAACCTGCAAATTTACCTTGAGAGAATCCTGGACTAGAACTCCCACGTCTCTTTTCTCTTCAGACTTCTGAATTTTCTCCCCATTTAGAAATTAGTCCATGCTTTTATTCTTCTTACCAAAGTGCATGACCTCACACTTTCCCACATTGTACTCCATCTGCCACTTCCTTCCCCACTTTCCTAACATGTCCAAATCCTTCTGCAGCCTCCCCACCTCCTCAATATCACCTGTCCCTCCACCTGTCTTTGTATCGTCTGCAAACTTAGCCAGAATGCCCACAGTTCCTTCATCTTGATCATTAATGTACAAAGTGAAAAGTTGTGGTCCCAGTGCTGACCCTTGCGGAACACCACTTGTCACTGGCTGCCATCCTGAGAAAGACCCCTTTATCCCCACTCTCTGCTTTCTTCCAGACAGCCAATCTTCTATCCATGCTAGCACCTTGCCTCTAACACCAGGGGCCCTTATCTTACTCAGCAGCCTCCTGTGTGGCACCTTATTAAAGGCCTTCTTAAATTCCAGGTAGATAACATCCATTGGCTCTCCTTGGTCTACCCTGCTCGTTACTTCCTCAAAGAATTCTAGCAGATTTGTCAGGCATGACCTCCCCTTGATGAAACCATACACTTCCAAATATTCAGAAATCTCATCCTTTACAATGAACTTCAAAATCCGTCTTTTGCCTTACTCACTTTTTAAACAGGGGTGTCACGTTAGCGATTTTCCAGTGCTCTGGGACCCTCCCTGACTCTAGTGATTCTTGAAAGATCTCCACTAACGCTTCCACTATCTCTTCAGCTATCTCCTTTAGAACTCTGGGGTGTAGTCCATCTGGTCCAGGTGATTTATCCACCTTCAGGTCAATCGGTTTTACTAGCACCTTTTCCTTGGTGATGGCCACCATACTCAGCTCTGTCCCCGACCCTCTTGAACTTTTGGGAGATTACTCATGTCTTCCACCGTGAAGACTGATGCAAAATAATTATTCAGTTCCTCAGCCATTTTCTTGTTCCCACTACTATCTCTCTACCATCATTTTCCAGTGGTCCAATGCCCACCAATGTGGAGTCTCGATTGCAGCCACAGAAACACCTGTCTGTGCCCCTGACTCGTGAGTCCCTTACGACTAACACGCATTTGGATCTTGCCCAACCCTGGTCTACAGCTGAGCCAGTTGTGGTACCACAGGCCTGGCTGCTGCTGTTGTACTGCCATGAGAAGCTAATCCCCCCAACAGTATCCGAAACGGTATATCTGTTAGAGAGGGGAATAGCCACAGGAGACTGCTGCACTACCTGCCTGGCTCTCCTGGTAGTTACCCATCTACTTGACTGAACCTTGGTGTGGCCACTTCCCTAAAGCTAGTGTCTATCACACTGTCTGCCCTCTGTATGCTCCTCAGTGTGTCCCACTGCCAGTCTAACTGAACAACACGGTCTGTGAGGAGCTGCAGCCGGTTACACTTCCTGCAGACACAGTGATCAGGGACACTAGACTGTTCTTTCATCTCCCACATCTGGCAGGAGGGGCACACCACTGCCCTCACTGCCTTCTCTGCCCCTTTGCACTAAAACGATAAGCAGAAACTGACCTTACGCTTACCTCGTTGCTGATCACCCTTCTCACTGAAGCCCAATATTCACCAACACCCACATTTCAACTTCCAGCAGCACTTCAACTGCAGAACAGTCCTTCACAAAATGGCTGCTCTAAAAATGGCTGCTCCGCTCTCACATGCTTCGTTTTCTTTGTTGATAATCAATAACTCGGGCCATAATCTTAAAGTGAAAGGCAGGAGGTTTAGAGGGGATTTGATTAAAAAACTTTTCACCAGAGGGTGGGTAGTTGAGGCAGGAAACCTCAGAACCTTTAAAAAGTATTTGGATGAACACTTGGAATGTCATAACATTCAAAGCTATGGGCCTAGTGCAGGAAAGTACACACTTGATGGACTGAAGGGCTTTTTCTATACTGTATGATTCTATAATTCTATGATTCTAAGTTACTTCTTCAAAGAACTCCATCAAATTAGTAAAACATGATCTCCTTTTCACAAAACCATATTGACTCTGTCAGATTATCTTGTAGTTTTCTTAGTGCACTGCTGTAATGTCTCAGTTGTAACTTCTGACACCATATTGTCATATTCGCTAGTTGATTGTAATTGTTGTGGGAATTCTCAGGAGTTGAGGATTTGATCAATCTTGTTTAACCACAGCAGTGTGATAGAACCCATGAGGAGCGGGTAGAGAATGGGTGCTCACCGTGTTTACTCCTCCAGAATTGTCTACGGTGCATATACCATTACCTGGTGCCAAACCGGCAACGCCATTTGTAAAGGAGGACCTTCTGTAAAAGAGAAATCACCATTAACACAGAAGATGGTTCTAGAATTAAGAATGTTTGTGTTCCATGGGTGGGATTAACAATTAACCTTCACAAAGGCCACAGACCAGCCCACACTTTCTGTCACCCACCTCGGTGTCTGTTTGGAATTGTGATCAAGGCTGAGATCTTGGCCTGAGCCCTAGTCACAGATAATCAATGATGAGAGACACAAAATCTCAACCTTACAATGGCAATTATTCTTTACCCTGGAGAAGGTGTGGTGAGCTGCCTACTCGAACCGCTGTAGTCCATGTGTAGTGGGGACATCCACAGTGTTGTTAGGGAGGGAATTCCAGGATTTGACACAGTGACACAGAGCAGCTAGGGATGGGAAATAAATTCTGGCTCAGCCGGTGGCGCCCACATTGCAGAGGTAAAGAGAAAGCTGATGGAATGCCTTTTGGGAATTTTGTTATCCCACATCTACTGTTTCCCCTTTCTTCACATCATGTTTTCTGTCCTCAAACAATTCAAGCAAGTTAGTCAAACATTTTGTCTATTTCACTAAACCATGGTAATTGCCTGATTGTTTGACAGTTTTTGAAATATCCTGTCATTATCTCTTTAATAATACATTCTAGCATTTTCCCCATCTCAGAAGATAGGCTACCTGTCCTATATTTGACCAGGCAGCATCAGAGGAGCAGGAAAGCTGACGTTTTGGCTTGGGACCCTTCTTCTGAAGGGTCTGAAGAAGGGTCCCGGCCCGAAACATCAGCTTTCCTGCTCCTCTGATGCTGCCTGGCCTGCTGTGTTCCTCCAGCTCCACGTTGTGTTATCTCAGCCTCCAGCATCGACAGTTCTTACTATCTCTGTCCCATTATAGGATGTAAAAATAAAATCCTGCAGCTGCTTGAACTCTGGAACAAAAACAGGAAGTGCGGAGAAACTCAGCAGGTCTGGCAGCATCGTGGAGATAAAAACCGAGTGAAAGTTTTGGGTCCGTTATGACTGCTCCTCAGAATTCTCGCTTCCTGGCTTGAAGGATAGTTTTATAGTTGCTCTTCCCAGCTGTCAGCACAAACAGGATGGTGACGATGATATCCAACGTTCTCTAACTATTCATTGGTGGCTGATTGATTTCTCAGTTGGTTGAGGGGGTTGAAGGTTCCTTGTTCATGATTGAACTGATATCATGAGACTACAGCGGGTCCAAAGTAAAAGTTAAGGTTTCCATGGGGAACACCCCTCCTGACAGTGTACCGCTCTGTCACCCCGCTCTCTGTTGATTCTGCTATGCTGCTGGGACAGGATAGGCCCAAGGATAGTGTTGAGCAGTAGAGAGACACTGTCTCTAAAGGATGATTCAGTCTTCTCCACAGTTCCCAACTTCACTATCTCAAAAAGAGAGAATTGAACTATCAACCTGCACATTAAGTAGAGTTACTATCACTGAATCTTCTACCATCAACTTCCTCGGGGTTTCCATTGACCACTTACTGAACTGGACTATCCATCTAAATAAAACAGCTACATGAGCAAGTCAGAGACGACAAATCATTGAAACATGGATGGTAGGTGCAGGAGTAGGCCATTCAACCCCTCAAGCTTGCTCCACCAACTTGTATGAGCATGGCTGATCATCGAGTTCAACACCCTAATCCCACTGACTCCCATATCCCTTGATCCCTTTAACCACAAGAGCTATATTTATCCCTTTCTTGAAAATAGATAATGCTACGGCCTCAAACGCTTTCTGTGGTAGTGAATTTCACAGGTTCACCACTCTCTGGGTGAAGACATTTCTCTCAGGTTTTGGGGTAGATCTGTAGCTTGGGTTGTGGGTGTTGAGGTTGGTTGGCTCGTCAAGCTGGTTCGTTGTTTTGCATTTCTCCTTATCTCAGTCCTAAAGGTTTATCTCTATCCTTAAACTATAACCTTTGATTCTAAACTTCCCCAACATCGGAAACACTCTTACTGCATCTAACCTGACAAGTTCTGTTTGAATTTTATCAGTTTCTGTGGGATCCCGGCTCATTCTTGAAATGACGTTGAAAGTTTCATTAAAAAGGCAAAAGAAGCCTTTGTAAGGTTTAGGAAACTGCCATCAGACAAGGTCCTTCAGGAATATAAGAAAGCAGCAAATAACTTAAACAAGGAATTAGGAGGGCTAGATGGGTCATGATTAAGAAGATTAAGAAGAATCTTACACATATATAAGGAACAAGACGGTAACTACGGAAAGGGTAGGCCCACTCAAGGACAAAGGAGGGAATTTATGTGCGGAGCTGTAGGAAGTGGAGGAGGTCCTTAATGAGTACTTTGCATTGGTATTCACTAACAAGAAGGATATGGATGATGGTAAGATTAGGGAGGGGTATGTTGATAATCTAAGGCATGTCAAATTGAAGAAAGAGGTTGTGTTGGGTGTCTTGTAAAACATTAAGGTAAGGTCTGATGGGATCTATCCCAGGACACTGAGCAAGACAAGGCTGGAGATTTCTGGGGCCTTGACAAAGATCTTTGTATCCTCTTTGGTCACAGAGGGTGGTCCCAGAAGACTGGAGGATAGCCAATATTATTCCTTTGTTCAAGAAGAGCATCTGGGATGATCCAGGAAATTATAGGCCGGTCACCTTTGCATCAGTGGCAGGGAAATCATTAGAGAAAATTCTTAGGGATATGATTTACTTGCATTTTGAAAAGAATGAACTTATTAGTCAGCCAGGCTTTGTGCCAGGTGAGTGGCTTGGAGGGGAACTTGAAGGTGGTGGTGTTCCCATATATCTGCTGCCCTTGTCCTTCTAGATGGAAGTGGTTGTGGGTTTGGAAGGTGCTGTCTGAGGATCTTTGGTCAATCTCTGCAGTGCATCTTGTAGATAGTACACAGTGCTGCGACTGATTGTCAGTGGTGGAGGGAATGGATGCTTGTGGATGTGGTGCCAATCAAGTGGGCTGCTTTGTCCTGGATGGTGTCGAGTTTCTTGAGTGTTGATTGAGCCGCACCTCATCACTAGGTGTGAGGAGAGCTGTAATAGCTTAGAAAGCCCAGCTGAAAAGGAACATCATTTATTGTTGGAAACAAAAATAAAGTCACTACTCATGCCATACATAGGCTGTACACGCCATGAATAGAAAGTTCTGCAGTCCAATCCATGGGCCTGCTTTATAAAGGGCTCAGGTCATGAGTTCCAGCTAGGCAGGGCATTGCCTGTTACCAAGGGTACTCTCGATCAACGAGCTGCTGGGAGAGATTTGTTAGTGATTCCCCATGGGCCTTGTACGATAGGGTTATCACAAGGGGAGGTGATGGCCAAGTGGTATTACCACTAGACCTATTGATCCAAAAACTGAGCTGATCTGCTGGGGGCCCGGTTCAGATCCTGCCAGGGCGGATGGTAGAATCAGAATTCAATTAAAAAAGAAAACCTAGTATTAAGAATGACCATGAAACTGATTGTTGGGAAAAACCCATCTGGTTCATTAATGTCCTTTCAGGAAGGAATCTGCCATCCTAGCCTAGTCTGGCCTACATGTGACTCCAAACCCACAAAAATGTGGTTAACTCTTAAAAAAACCCAAAAGAACTATGGATGCTGTAAATCAGGAAAAAAAACAGAAATTCCTGGAAAAGCTCAGCAAGTCTGGCAGCATCTGTGAAAAAAAAATCAGAGTTAATGTCTCGGGTCCAGTGACCCTTCCTCAGAACTCTGAGTCAGATGGCTCCTCCTTGCTCCTGTGCCAGTGGAGCCTCCTGCGTTGTTTTGTCCACAGCTTCATTTCTATTGCTTTCTGGGTCCAATCAAGTGGAGTATAATAGTTAAGTGAACGTCTGTTCTGTGAAGGCCAATGAAGATTCACCATGGTGGCTCATCCTGAGTGGAGTTTCCTTCGAAACAATAGCTACCAGGGAGGTCAATATGTTTCTTTTCTGTTTTGTGATTCTTTCTCCAAGTTTGACCATGTACCAACTGGTCCCGCCTGTTTTAAGGATAACTCCTGGGATCCCTGGAGAGTCGGCACCAACATTCTTTACACAGGTTATATCTCCCATCAATAAGTTTGTATTGACCCCATCGTATTCCTTGGAGTTCGAGCCCCTTTTCCTGGTTTTCACGTTCTCTTTCACAGGGTGTAATCTGTCCTTGTCAACTATGTACCAGAGGTGTGTTACCTCATTTACCTGGACCATGCATCTTTCCTTTTGTAGCTCGATGCTGGCCTCAGAAAAGCAGCATAAGATTTCTTCCAACTCTCCACGTCTCCTTTGCAGTCACTGCTGAGATTAGTGTCATCCAGATAGACTGCCACTCTGACCACCCCAGGGAGGACGTTCTCCATGACCCTTTGAAAGATGGTGCCAGCCGAAGATACCCCAAAGTGCAGGTGAGTGAATTTATAATCCCCACAGAAACAGAGCAAGCTGTCAGGTTTTACAACTGAGATGACTGGTGAAGCACATTCAGCAAATTGTACAGGAACAAGGACGTCTTGCTACAATTTTGCAGAGCACTGGTGAGGCTACAGGTGGAATACTGTTTGCAGCTTTAGTCTCCTTATCTGAGGAAGGATGTCCTTGCTATGGCAGGAGTGCAAGCGAAGGTTTACGAAATGAATTTCTGGGATGGCAGGGCAGACGTATATGAGGAAATTTTGAGTCAGATAGGATTGTATTCGCTGGAGTTTAGAAGAATGAAGGGGAAGCTCCTAGAAACCTATAAAATTCTAACAGAACTAGACAGGAGAAACAGAGGAATGATTTTGTCAACGACCAGGGAGTCCAGGAACAGGGGTCAGGGTCTAAGGATATTGAGTAGGCCATTTAGGACTGAGATGAGGAGGAATGTCTTCTTGCAGAGAGTTGGGAGTGAGCCTGTGGAATTTACTACCACAGAAAGCAGCAAGTGCAAAAACATTGTATGATTTCAAGAAGTTGGATATAAGCACTTGGGGATAAAAGGATCAAAGGATATGGGGAATAGAAGGAGGAGGTTGTTGAGTTAGATGATCATAATGAATGGCAGAACAGGCTTAAAGGGCCAAATGGCCTACTCTTGCTGCTATGTTCTAAGTTTCTGTAGCAATTCAGATGAATAATTATCTGCAACTGTATGCTTTTCAAGGCATGCTTTGTCAAAAAGAAATATTCTTTTCACTGTCCTTTCATTGATCCCTTTAAAAAGAAACAATTCAGGTCAACAATCTTTCCCAGTCAAGATCACAAACATGATTAAATGTAACATCATCATGACGTTCCTTCAGAACATGGGCGGGGGGAGTTTTAACAAGCTTAGCCACTCACAGTCACCAAACAGTGATAGTTAATCAATGTGGAACTTATCATCACAGTCCACGACCTTTAACTGATGGGAAACAATCGTGACAGATTGCTGGCCTGTGTCGATTTGGGAGGGTTGGGTGTGAGCTACTCACGTGACAAGATGGGCATTGTCATTGTGCAGTCGTGGGAGGAGGGTCTTCTTCCTCCAGTGAAGGAAACGGTTCAAGGTTCTCGAAGCACTCCTGTCGATGGTGATCTGGTTGGTGGTCCAAACCTCCACACCAATCAGAGCAACCCGAATGTTAAATGGTCTGTAATACTGGAGAGAACAGCATTGTTAGAGAGAGAACTGATCTGAAACTGATCGGTTGAAAATGAAGTGTCAACTGAACTGACCATCAAATCACACTCAAATCAGTCAACACACTGAGAGGTAGGTGGGTTAGTAATATAGAGCTGGTGAACTGACATTGTCCAACAGGGACGGCTGACACGGTCCTATTCTTGATTAACTCACGGGACACGATGTTACTGGTTAGGCCAGCTTTTATTGCCCATCCTTAATTGCCCTTGAACTGAGTGAATTGATTACTCACTTTGATTTTGTTTGACTTGCTGTTGTTACATGTACTGAGATATAGTGAAAAGTATTAGTTTGTATGCTATCCAATCATGGCTTCCGGTTGGGGAACACTCAGATTAATTTCTTTGGCATGCAGTCCTCCAAACACTTACTGATGAAGTATGTGACAGAAGTGGCATGCTCATTTAAGTTGGCCAATGAGTTTTTGAATATAGTCCAGACCACTGACTCCAATCAGTCATATATGAGCTCATCCATTGCCTCAGACCAGCACTGTACAATTTTCTATATCAGACCCTCATGCTTCAGGTTCTGCTCATAAGCCAGCAGAAGGAGCACAGACTTATGGTCTGATTTACCAAAATGCAGGCAGGGGACAGAGAAATGGTCCATGGTGTTTGGGCCTCTGGTTTGCGCCTCAGAGGGTGGTTGAGTTAACCAGCTTGTTATGCATTTGGAGATATATCCCTGAAGAACATTTGTGGGTCAGTGTGTACTTGATGGGCCGATTGGCCTGATTCCATGATTCTATGATCTTCCAATGATACTGTCCCGTACGACAACCTCATTGCTCTCTCCTCCCCCTACTTAACTTTCTCCCTGTCCCAAGGTGCTGTGGTCAGTTTGTTCATCCTCCCTGCAGTCCCCACTCTGGTCCACACAGCTTGCAGGAACGTGGGAACTGTTGGACAATTGCAGAGGACAAGGCTCCTCAATGTGAGCCCTCTGGGTGCCCAAACCTGTGTCTCTTGCAGTGACACTGTCCTGTCCCTGATCACAGGCCAACATTGAATGACCTGGTCTGAAGGGTATGCCCCCAACTGAAGTAAAGTGCCCAGGTAATGTTCCCCTTCCCTGACATGGTATAATGTTTGCAGCTCAGCCTCCAGCTCCTCACCTCTGATCCAAAATTCCTAAAGCTGCAAACACTTACTATAGAGTGTTCACTGGTATCACACTAATACTTAAGCAGTTATTTATAAGAAAAGAAAAAAGAATTCAAATTGAAACCTTACCACAACTGACAACCTTACTTCAACTTTAACGATTAGAATTATTCACCAGTCCTGCTCACTGATCAACTACTTTCTCTTCACTCACTCACACTGTGGTTTGTGCTGTCACTCCACCTCTGGTTTCACTGCAGCTGGTTGCTCAATTCACACCTTTCATCATCTCCCACTCACCTCTTGCTCTGGAGAGTTTACTTCTTTTAGTAAATCCTAGTTAAAGCACCCTCCCTCCCACCACTCCCTGCACCAAATTTCTATTTTAAACCAAACTTCTGGCAGATCACCCCTCCGTCAGCCTTCAGCCCAATCAGCTGAAGACTCCTTCACCATGTTGGGTTACAATTCCTTTTTATATGGACCTGCTCATTGTCACTGCCTAGCTAGAGAGATTAACGCTTCAATCAGCCAAAAGGATTCATGTGCTTGAATTCACGTTGCCACAGTTCAGCTGCTGGCTCCTTTAATGAGGCTCTACAACTGAGGTAGACCTTAATTAAAGTAGCAGCCCATGGAATTGAGGGTAAATTATATAGTCAACGTTGTGGCAGAGCAGAGCTACTGAACCAGAGCTCGTCTGCTCCAACTGCTCTTCTTTCTTCTTTTGTCACTTTTTTTCTTTTTTTAAGTCTTTTCAGCTTTTTTTTCTCTCTACTTACCTTCTGGAGTGAGCTTAGTCATAGAGACAGCAGCAGCAGTCGGTGGCTGCCGGTTGAGCAGGTCTTGTCCCTGTGTGGGTGTCTTGTCCCTGTTTGGGGGTCCTGTCCACGTGTGGGGATCTTGCCCCTGTGTGGGGGTCCTGTGTCCGTTTGGGGCTCCTGTCCCCATGTGTGGGTCTTGTCCCTGTGTGGGGGTCCTGTCTCCTTGTGGGTATCTTGTCCCTGTGTGGGGGTCTTGTCCTTGTGTGGGGCTCCTGTCCCCGTGTGGGGATCTTGTCTCCATGTGGGGGTCCTGTCTCCTTGTGGGGATCTTGTCCCTGTGTGGGGGTCATGTCCCTGTGTGGGAGTCCTGTCCCTGTGTGGGGGTCCTGTCCCCATGTGGAGGTCTTGTCCCTAATGGGGGGCTCATGTCCCTGTGTGGGGTTCATGTCCCTGTGTGGGAGTCCTGTCCCTGTGTGGGGATTCTGTCTCCGTGTGGAGATCCAGTCCCTGTATTGGGTTCCTGTCTCCCTGTAAAGGTACTGTCCCCGTGTGAGGGTCATGTCCTCATGTGGGGGGTCCTATCCCTGTGTGGGGATCATTTCCATGTGTGGGGGCTTGTCCATGTGTGGGGATCATGTCCCTGTGTGGGGGTCCTGTCTCCCTGTGAGGGTCCTGTCCCCACATGAGGGTCATGTCCCTGTGTGGAGGATCTTGTCTCCGTGTGGGAGTCTTGTCCGGTCTCTGCGTAGGGGTCCTGTCGCCATGTGGAGATCCTGTCTCTGTGGGGGTATCCTGATTCTGTGTTGGGGGTTCTGTCTCCATGTGGAGTCCTGTCCCCGTGTCAGGGTCATGTTCCCCAATGGGGGTCCTGTCTTTGTGTGAAGGTCCTATCTCCGTATCGAGGTCCTGTCTCCATGACAAGGTTCTGTTCCCGTGTCTGTCTCTGTGTGGTGATCCTGTCCCTGTGTGGAGATTCTGTTTCCGAGAGGGGATCCTGTCTCCCTGTTGAGACTCTGTCTCTGTGTGGTGGTCCTGTCCCTGTGGGGTGGTCCTGTTCCTACGTTGGCTCCTGTCCCTGTGTGTTAGTCCTGTCCCTGTGTGGAGGTCCTGTCCCTGATTGACGTCTTCAAGACATTAGCAGGAAAAGATAGGGTAGATAAAGATAAACTATTTCCACTGGTTGTGCATTGTAGAACTAGGAGCTAAAATCTGAGAATTTGAGCCAGACCATTCAGGTGGAATTTGGGAAGCATTTCTAGATGTTTGGAGCTCTCTTCCACAAATGCCAGTGGATGCAGGATCAGTTGTTAATTTTAAATCTGAGAGAGATAATTGTTTTGTTTAGAAAAGGTCTAATGGATACTGGCCAAAGGCAGTGGAGTTGAACCACAGATCAGCCATGATCTCACTGAATGGTAGAACAGGCTTGAGGGACTGAATGGCCTGCTCCTGTTCCTATGTTCCTGGAAAGAGTTTGGGTGGAAATGAGGAACAGTAAGGGAAATAAGGCACTAGTGGGAGTGGTTTACAAGCTGGTAGCAATAACAATAATGTGGGAGAAAATATTCAAGAAATATTTGGTGCTAATGATGAAGGGACGGCAATAGTCTTGTCGCTTGATTAAGGAATTCAAGGAATGCCTTTTAGTTCCTTAGAACAGCACATTCTGGAAGTCACCAGAGAGCAACATATATCAGGCTTGGTGTTATGTCATGTGACAGGATTTACTAATGATCCAGAGGAAAGGCACCTCTATGCAGCAGTGATCATAATATGATTGAATTAGCCTGAATAAGGGCAACAATTTTGGTATGGTAGCCTTAAGTAAACTGGTCAGTGGGAGAAGATAGAGAGTGAGAGAAAGAGGACAGATGGTGAAGGGGCAGAACTAGGAAAAGAGGCAAAGTTAGGGTAATAAATGGAATTCAAAGCTATTTTGAAAGGTGCAAGATGTGAGGAGCTGAGTAGTTCTGGCTGACTGTAAAATATGGTCTGGCAATGCCTTAATATTGCTACATTGTGAGAGGTATCCATGTTCCAAATGCAATCAGTCTTGTTTTGAGAATTCAAACCACAGAAATAAACAAAGATGGGGTTTTTAACAGTGAAATAGAAAATTAACCTGTCATCAGTGTGAACACAGTCTCTATAGTCACTCACCATGTCCACGGTACCAGCAACGTTAATCATTCTCCGCACCACAGCTTCCTTATTACGATCCAGGTACAGGTACTAAATGGAAAACAAACAATTGCCAATAATTCAGTGATCAAAATAACTCCACGTTCAAGCCCCATCGTCACATACACCTCGACTGCCAGCGTCATTACAGAAGGACACCACTTGATCCAACGTGCACCTGTTGGGTTATTCAGCTGATACCAACACCTTCCCCCCAACCACCCTTGCTCTTGTGCCGTTCTGTCCAAAGTATTTTCCCCTTGAAACAATTTCCCTTTTGGAAGTTAATCTTGAATCTGCTTCTGCTGTGTTTTTCAGAAGACTATGTGAATGAATACATACTCACAGAGAGAGAGAGAGTCGTAGAGTCATAGAGGCCTACAGCATGGAGACAGGCCCTTCGACCCAAACTGGTCCATGCCGACCAAAATGTCCATCCACACTTACCCCATTTCCCTGCCCTTGGCCCATATCCTTCTAAACCTTTCCTATCCATGTATTTGTCCAAATGCCTTTTAAATGTTGTTAATGTACCCGCCTCAACCACTTCTGCTGGCAGCTCATTCACACTCTGTGTAAAAAAGTTGCTCCTCAGGTTCCCATTTATTCTTTTTCCTCTTACCTTGAACTGATGCCCTCTAGTCCTCGATTCCTCAACACTGGAGAAAGACTGAGTGCATTCACCCTATCAGCCTGTGATGATCTGATACACTTCTATAAGATCCCCCCTCAGTCTCCTACGTCTAAAGAAAAAAGTCCTAGCATGTGCAACCTCTCTATAACTCAGTCTCTTGAGTCCTGGCAACATCCTTGTAAATTTCTTCTGCACTCTTTCCAGTTTAATAACATCCTTCCTATAGCAAGGTGACCAAAACTGAATACTCCAAAGGTGGCCTCACCAATGTCATGTACAACTGCAACATAACTTCCCAATTTCTGTACTCAATGACCTGACTGATGAAGGCCAGCGTGCCAAAAGCCTTCTTCTCTGCCCTGTCTACCTTTCAGAGAACCATGCACCTGAACTCCAAGGTCGCTCTCTTCCTCTACACTCCTTAAGGCCCTATCATTCACCATGAAACACCTACATTGATTTGACTTTCCAAAATGCAACACCTCACACTTATCTATATTAAACTCCATTTGCCATTTCTCGGCCCGCTTCCCCAGCTGATCAAGATCCTGCTGCAATTTCTGATAACCTCCCTCACTGTCCATGATATTCCCTATTTTAGTCTCATCTGCAAACCTACTAATCGTGCCGTGTACATTCTCATCCAAATCATCGATATAGATAATAAACAGCAACAAGCCCAGCACTGACCCCTGAGACACACTCTAGTCACCGGCCTCCAGTCTGACAAACATCCTTCCACTATTACCCTCTACTTCCTACCATCAAGCCAAATGCGTATCCAATTTGACGGGTCTACCTGGATTCCATGCAATCTAACCTTCCAGAGCAGCCTACTATGTGGACCCTTATCAAAGGCCTTACAGAAATCCACATCGACTACGTCGACTGCCCTGCCCTCATCAACCTTCCTGGACATTTCATCAAAGAACTCTAACAAATTTGTGAGGCATGATCTCCCATGCACAAAACCAAGCTGACTACTCCTAATCAAACCCTATCTTTCTAAATGCATGTGTATCTTATCCCTCAGAATCTTATCAAAATCAATTCAGAATTCAGCAAAGGAGGACTAGAATAGTAGTAAAGAGATAGTAAACAAACTATTGAGGCAAAGTAGTGAGGAATATGAAAACTGACAATAAGAGCTTCATTAAATGTAGAAAAAGAAAGAAAGAGGTCAAACTGAACATAGGTGCCTTTGAAAACAAATCTGGGAAGACAGCTTTGGAGAACAATGAAATGACAGAGGAGGCAAACAGATATTTCACACGAGTCTTTAAGGTGGAGGATACTTCAAATATCCCATTACACTAAAGAATGCAAGGAAGGAATTAAATACCATCATCATCACTAGAGAAGTAGTATTAGACAAACTAATGGAGCTAAAGGCAGATAAGACCCCTTGGCCCTGATGGTTTGCATCCTAGGAATCCCAAAAGAGGTAGCTACAGAGATAGTGGATGCATTGGTTATCACTTTCCAATAATCCTTGGATTCTGGAGAAGTATCAGAGGATTGGAAACCTGCTAATGTGAAACCCTGATTCAAAAACGGAGGGAGGCCAAAAACCAATAACTACAAGCCAATGAGCCTACCATGTATTGTTGGAAATCAATTATTATTATTATTAGTGTCACCACACTACCAGAAGGATGTGGAAGCTTTGGAGAGAGTACAGAGAAGGTTCACCTGGATGATGCCTGGTCTCCAGGGCATTGACTACGAGGAAAGGTTAAAAAGACTAGGATTGTTTTCACTGGAAAGATGGCGGCTCAGAGGAGACATGATCGATGTCTACAAAATTATGAGAAGCCTAGATAAGGTGGATTGTCAGAAGCTTTTTCCCAGGGTTGAAGTTTCAATTACAAGGGGGCACAGATTCAAGGTCAGAGGGGGAAAGTTTAAGGGGGATGTGCAAGGGAAGTTTTTTGTGCCCAGTGGTAGCAGCCTGGAATGCACTACCAGAAGAGGTAGTGGACGCAAGCACATTGAACAAATTTAAGAGGCACCTAGATGGGTATATGAACAGGGAGGGATAGAGGGATACAGATCAAAAAATGGCAGATTTATTTTTAGATTATTTAGGGCATGATGGTCGGCACAGGCTTGGAGGGTCAATGGGCCTGTTCCTGTGCTGTATTTTTTCATTTGTTCATTAAGGAAGTAATATTGGAATACTTGGAAAATCATAATCTAATTAAGCAGCCTCAGCATGGGTTCATTAAAGGGAAACTGTGTCTGACTAATTTATTAGAATTTTTTGAGGAAGTATCAACCAGAGTGGATAGAGGAAAATCAGTAGATGTGTTGCATTTGGATTTCTGAAAAGATGTTCAACAAGGTGCCTCACATAAGGTTAAGTCACACGATAAGAGCCCACAGTGCTGGAGGTAGTACATTGGCATGGATAGAGAATTCACTCATGGGCAGATAACAGTGAGGATGGCAACCTGTGTTGCTCCACAGGGGTCAGTGCTTGGTCTGCAACTGTCTACAATATAAATCAATGACTTGTAGGAAGGAAGTCAATGTACTGTAGCCAAATTTGCAGAGGACACAGAAGTAGGTGAAAAGCGAGATTATGAGACGGAGACAATTTACAGAGAGATATTGGTTGATTAAGAAAGTGGGCAAATACAGTATAACGTGGGCAAATGCAAAGTTGTTCATTTTGGAAGGAAGAACAAAAGAACAGAACATTATTTAAATGGAGATAAACTCCAGAAAGTTGCAACACAAAGGGACCCAGTGGTGTATTAAATCGGTGTCTGGCATGTGTGAGGCTTTTAAAGACCAGTTGGTTAAAGTGCAAGACATACATTTCCAGGCGAAACTGAAGGATAGGAATGGCAGGATCCAGGAAACATGGATGACAAGGGAAAGTGTAAGCTTGGTCAAAAGGGAAAAGGAAGTATACGATAGGTCTAGGCAGCTACAAATGGACGAAGCCTTTGAGGAGTCTTGAGAAATTAGGAAGAAACTTAAAAGTGGAATTAGTAAGGCTAAAAGGGGCCATGAAATGTCTTTAACAAACAGGGTCAAGGAGAATCCCAAGGCTTCATACGAATATATTAGAAGAAAGAGGGGAGCAAAGGAAAGAGTACGTCCACTCAAGAACAAAGGAGGGAACTTATGCGTGGAGCCATTGGAAGTGAGGGAGATCCTTAATGGGTACTTTGTATCGGTATTCACCAAGGGCAAGGATGTGACTGATGCCGATGTCAGGGATGAGTGAGTGAATAACTCTAGACAATGTCAACATATTGAAGGAGGAAGTTTTGGTATCCTAAATTGCAATAAGGAAGACAAGTCCCCAGGTCAAATGGGATCTATCCCAGGTTACTCCGAGAGGCAAGGGAAGAAATAGCTGGGGCATTAGCAGATATCTTCACATCCTCTTTAACCACAGCCAAGATTCCAGAGGACTGGAGATTAGCCAATGTTGTTCCCTTGTTGAAGAAAGGAAGCAGGGTTAATCCAGGAAATTATAGGCCGGTGAGCCTAACGTCTGGTGGGGAAGCTCTTGGAGAAGATACTGAAGAACAAGAGATATGCGCATTTGGAAGAAAATGGACTAGTTAGTGACAGGTAACATGGTTTACTACAGGAAAGGTCATGTCTCACCCACCTGATTGAATTTTGTGAAGAGGCGACAAAGATAATTGAGGGAAGGGCTATGGATGTAGTTTATATGGACTTTAGTTAGGCATCTGATAAAGTCCCACACGGCAGATTGGTACAAAAACTAAAAGCCACATGGGATTTGGGGTGGGCTGGCTAGATGAATACAAAACTGGCTTGGTCGTAGAAGACAGAGGGTAGAGGTTGAAGGGTGCTTTTCAGAATGGAAACCAGTAACTAGTGGTGTTCTATAGGGATCAGTCTTAGGTCCTCTGTTGTTTGTAGTTTATATAAATATTCTGGAGAAAAAGGTGGGTCATCTGATTAGTCAGTATAAAAGCCTTGTTAGGCTGCATTTGGAGTATTGTGTGCAGTTTTAGTCATCACATTACCAGAAGGACTTGGAAGCTTTGGAGAGAGTATAGAGAAGGTTCACCAGGAATTTGCCCAGTCTCGAGGGCACTGGCTATGAGGAAAGGTTAAAAAGAATAGGACTGTTTTCACTGGAAAGACAATAGCTGAGAGGAGATCTGATAGGGGTCTATAAAATGATGAGAGGCAAGAATAGGGTAGATAGTCAGAGGCTTTTTCCTAGGGTTGAAGTTTCAATTACAAGGGGGAACTGGTTCAAGGTGAGAGGGGAAAAGTTTAAAGGAGATGTGCATAGGAACTTTTTCACGCAGAGAGTGGTAGGAGCCTGGAATACACTGCCAGAGGAGGTGGTGGAAGCAGGCACGTTGGTGACATTTAAGAGGCATCTGGATGGTTATATGAATAGGGAGGGAATATAGGG